GGGGCCGCCAGGACGCTGGGCCCCGCTCGGGTGGCGGGGGGTCCCGACGTCCTGGCCACCGGACCGGAGGAGTGGGCTGGGCTGAGTCAGGAGCCCCGGCTGGGCGAGCCCGGTCCTGCCGCGCGACAACTCGCGATCGGTGCTGCTGGAGCCACCTGAACTGGGACTCTTGGAGGCTTCTCCCCGTGGACGGACGTTCCGACCGGCAGGAAGCGGCCCCGGGGTCCCCGCCGGCTTACCGCGCAGGCTGGAAGGCGGAGAGGATGGTTTTTTAGGACAATGAAGGCCTACGGAGCCTTTAGCAGCTCAGGGAAGCGACACATTGAATGGCTGTGGAACCACCCAACCGCTGCTTAGAGAATCCTTCAGGTGCGAGAGCGGCTGTGGGCGTTCGTTCCGATCTCGTTCTGGAGTGGTTCGGCGTTTGGACTTGAAAACTGGGTTTGGTGGCGTTCGTTGTGAGCAGCTGGGATATTTGAGATAATGGAATGGGGTTACAAAACAATGAAACAGTATTTCCTTATGTGGAAAAAAAAATTGAAGTAGAGATACGGAGGGAAATGAAGGCTACACCATCTGCCCCGTTTGGGGCGTGATTACTTCCTATCAACAGAAGTGAAAGTTGTCAAGAACACTGCCGTTCACAGTTAAGAATGTCACCGTGGGTGAAAATTGTATCCTCTTGGTTTGCGCTTCAGAGTGGAGTGTGGCTTGAATTTTAAATGCCATAGTTTCCATAACGAATTGAACTTTTTTCACTGTTACTTTTTTGTTATTACACCTTGGCTCGCAGTCATCCCCAGCATGGATATCGCATTTGTTAGGAGAAATAGCGTTCTTAAATTGTAAGTTATAATAAAAGGGATTTGAGTGAAGGGTTATTATTGCTTGAGAAAAATGTGTTGCTTTTTCTCAGACATAAGTGTCTGGAGATGCTTAATATTAACGTCTCTAATCATAAAATTCTGCCATCTGTTTATTTACACTAGGCCAGGAAAACTGTCTTAGTCCTCTGAACGTTTACTGTGTATCCTTGGTCAAAATACTAGGTAATTCTGTAATTCCTTGTTTCAATTTTTACATCTTTACAGGATTTGAGATATTTAAATAATGGATTTCACTAGTCACTTTTAACAGAAAATCATTCCATTTTCCTACTGTTATAATGAGTTCTCTTTGGCATTCACAGTTTTGTCTTGGCTCACAATACATTTTCTTCTTTAAATATATGGCCAGATGAGTCCAGTAACTTACTTGAAAGTGTGTTTTCTTTCCCAGGGATGAAGAAAAGGGGTGAAGAAATGTGTGTTTGTTCTCTAGGTCTTGCCATTTAGTAGAGTTGTTAAAGTTGTTTAACTTGGTGAGACCATTGCTATAGTAGCTGATGAGGAAGCCGGTGATGATACAGTAATCAGAAGATTCTTAGGACAGATGAGCATATCGATAGGTCTTATAATTGAAGCGATCCCCCCTTCATATCTTGTTTCATCAAAATTAAAAACATAATAGTTACAATTAAATGCTATCAGTTATGTATAATTAAGAAGTCTGTCTTTTCCTGGATGGTTGTAAGTCTTACCCTGTAAGGAATAAGCTTTCATTCCCTAGTGAAAAATTGACTTTACTCTCAAGAGGGGAGGATAAAGCCCCCCAGTTTCTGCTGCCATTTTCTGCAGCTACTGCCATAAATACAGGCTGCAGAGCTCCTGCTTCCCATTCTAAGTCACAGCTGGAGAACTGAAGGAAACAGGGCAGGATGTAGTCAAGGATATTTGGTTTTTATGCATCCTGGTTTTCATGTACTACTAAATAGAATTGTACTTTCATTTTCCACATTAGAGAAATTAAATGGAAACAAAGTAGAGTTTTGAACCCATGAAATTTCATTGTTAACTCGACTTCTTATAAAATCTTATTATTGGTTTGGTGACTCATCTTTTTGAACAGACAGCTTCTGACAATAAAATCAAACTGTAGGATCTTTCCTCAGTTGACAGAATAATTTATTAATAGATGACTCAGTGAATGCAGTAATGTATATCCTGGAAGTTTCCCAGAATACCTTCTTAGTTTCATATCTTGTTGACAGGTCTTTCTGAAAGAATCCGTCTGTGGTGTTTTAAGTAATAAACTCAGGATGGCCTATCTGAACTGAGATTTCTCAGTGGTTTGGATTAGTGATATATTCAGCATGTTAAAAAAAATGGCTTGAGTGATAAATCCTTTCCTGTTGCTCCAGACATTGCTCTTCTATTTGTACTACTGAAGATACTTTCTTATTCCTTTGATGAATGTCTCCCTGTCATTCTCACAGATTCTTCCCATTTCTCTGGGCAGGTTACATTATAGAGGAGAGTTCTTTGTTAAAAACTAGAGTTAGTTATTCATTCAGGAAATATTTTTGAGTACCCATGAACTTCAAGATAAAGTGCTAAAATTAATAACACTGCATGTCTCATCAGACATGCCACAGAAAATTCATTTATGCATTAATGCAGCTGACAGTCCAGGCATTGGGCTTAAACGATCACGAAGTAAAATTATAGATAGGGTAGACAGATAGGTTAACTAATAAGCCCGGTGCAGAGGGAGGGCAGACTCCTTCTTTCCTGGGATAATTAGGAAAGGTTTCATGTAATACCTGAAGTTAGGTGTTGGTAAATGAGTAGAAACTTCAAGCAGGAGAAAGGAATTCTAAGACAGTGACAGAAGGTCACTCCAGTTTGTAAAATGAAGGGTGTTTAGGAAATACTGAGACTAGGGAGGTGTGTGTGTGTGTGTGTGTGTGTGTGTGTGTGTGTGTGTGTGTGTGTGTGTTTAGGGAGTAGTAGGTCATGGCAAGTCTTGAAGATGATAAGAGTTTGAGGAAGTTTTGAGAAAGCTTTTGTAGATCATGTGTAAAGAAACTGATGACTTTTCCCTAGTAGGCTCAAGTGAATCATATGACTAATGTTAGTTTGAAGAATGTCCTTCAGTGGGGATTATAGATAGACCGTCTGTCATTGTCATTGACATCTCTTCTTGTCATTTGGTAATCCTTCCAGAATTGTCTATTGTTGATGAACCTAGGAGGTAAAAATCTTAAACTTGTTTAATGGAGACAGAAAAATCAGAATTTGGGGAGGCATTTGGAAAAGAACAAAAAGAATTTGGTTACTAAGAAGTTAATTCATGTATGTGAAATTGGGAAAGTAGGTGATTAATGATATATTAAGAAAATTGGTAGGAACCTTTCAGGGAGAAGAAATAATATATTAACTTTAAGTATCTATTAAGGGGAGAAGGAATGAATTTTTAAGAATGTTAGGCTAGATCTAGTCATACTGATCTATAACCCCAGCTATTCTAGAGACCACTGCAGGAGGATTGCTAGTTCAAGACCAGCTGGGGGCAACTTAGATTCCTGTCTCAAGATAAAAAGCACCAGAGGACTGAGGATATGCTGAGTGCTTGATTAGCATACAGAAGGCTTTGGGTTCAATCCCAAAGTATTGAAAAAAAAAAAAAAAAAAAGGAGAAAAAAAACCAGTATAGATTAAAGCTGGACATTGTAGCACATACCTGTAATCCCAGCAGTCGGGAGGTAGGCAGAAGAAGTTCAAGATAAACTTGGCTACAGAGTGAGACCTTGTTTCAGAATGCTAGAAATAAAGAAAGCTAAAACAGCAAAAAGGGCTTAATCAATATATCCTGTGAAGATATCAGAAGGCAGCCACTATAACTGTAAATATGAATAAATAAGTTGGAAGGAAGTTACAACTAGTTTTAGCCCTTTAGAAATGATTGCTTCATATGGATAATTTAGACCTGAGATGGATGACATCTCTCAACTGTACATCTCATTAGTTAGATGGTCTGAGCAGGTTACCTATTTTCTTTGTACCTCAGTTTTCCCATCTGTAGAAGAAAGTTATTTTGAAGATTGCCTTAAGTTTCTATCTCAGGGGAAAAAAGAGAAGGTTTACCTTAAATTTGATAAACTACTTAGAAGAATGGTAGCTGCTTTGAATTTAAGTGGATTAGTAGGGCAGGAGGGACCTGGCATGGAAGTGCATACTTGTAGCTGAAGTTTTCTCAAGTCCTGCCTGGCCCACGGTCAGGACAAATCTCTCTCACCCACCAGTCCCACAGCCACTCAGACCCAACTGAGTAAATGCACAGAGACTTATATTGCTTACAAACTGTATGGCCATGGCCGGCTTCTTTTTATCTAGTTCTTCTATCTTAAATTAACCCATTTCTATAAATCTATACCTTGCCACATGGCTCATGGCTTACCAGTCAGTATCTTATATGTTGGTACTCATGGCAGCGGCTGGCAGTGTCTCCTGACTCAGCCTTCCTGTTCCCAGAATTCTCTTCTCTGTTTGTCCCGCCTATACTTCCTACTACCTGGCTACTGACCAATCAGCATTTTATTTATACAGAGCGATCGATATCCACAGCACATACTTGTGATTCTGGTTTTGGGGTTGCAGAGCAGGAAGGACGTGAGTTTGAAGTCATGGGCTATATGGCAAGCCCCCCACCACCCTCAAAGACAAAATTGAGCATCCATCAGGGAGAAAAGCCTTTCAAAGATTGAGAAATAGTCATACTGGAGAGAATGATAGCAGACTACAATGAGAGATTACAAATAGTGAGTGTGGAAGGTTATATTATTCATGATGTCTACAAGGTCTGTCACCCTACAGTGTGACTTACAGTCATCCTCTTAGGTCTGTGCTTTTTCGTGAATCTGGAAAATTGAAGAAAGGCATTTACTGGGGTGAGGAAACACATACATGGCAACAGACACCCAGACAGAAGACTGTTCCGAAAGCAGCAATGGGTCTCAGCCAGACGATCCCTATAAGATCTTCTCTGTTGTCCTCATTTCTTAGAAATGAAAGAAGAAATGAGATGAAAGAGTTGAGCTAGGGTGACATTTAAAGACCGTTTCTGCTTCAAAATTTTTAAATCTAATTCTGTGATTCTGTTAAATCATGTAAAAGATGTAAAATCATGTAAAACTATTAAATTCTGTTGCTTTTCCTTTGGAACCTAAAACATCAGATATTTTTTAAAAATAAAGCATATTCTCATGGAAAAGAGATTCTACTTGATATGACCTAAAAAATTGATGCAGTTCTTTTAAAGCATTGATATCTCCTTCAAGATTGTATTGGTAGTTTCCAAAAAACTTTTTAGTTTGTCTTGATTTTGTATCTTAATGTGCTTTATTTTTCTACCTTTCCATATTAATTTGAGATCCATTTTGGTAGCCTGAGACAAAGGATTTTATAGTGCTTTTCAAATAGCCAAAAATCAATAGAGTTTATTATTTTATAGGAATTATATAAAGAATATCATTAACAAATCAAGTGGAACTAGAGAGGAGGGCAAAATCATTTACTTCCAGTGTTACTGTTGTATTAGGCTCATATTTCTAATATATCTTTTGTTGGCAGCACCATGTAATACCAGTTTTTTATTTCTAGTTTATGAACTAGTAGTTTGGGGTTTGTATCTAGGCCAGGGTGTGATTTTCAAGCCTTTCAAGAGGATTTGCACATACCCCTAGCTAGCTAGTATTTTCGCTTGTTCAGCATTGTTCCCTTGACTACAGATGGGACGGAAGAACAGCATGTGACAGAGCTTGCCTTTGCTTTCAGTTAAAATATAGAGGAGAGAGTAAAACAGAAAAAAAAATTGTTATGAAACAGTAAGTGAGACTAGACCTGGTGTCACAAGACTGGAATCCCAGCTACTTAGGAGTCTGAGGCAGGAAGATTGGAAGTTCAGTGCCTGGTTGGACTACAGAATCAGTCCAGGCCCAGCCTGGGCAACGCAATAAGGTGTTGTC